CTATTGTTAAGTTCCTATCTTCATAAACCCAAGTTGGCTATCCTGGGTTTGCAAACCTCTATTGAATCCATAAGTATACATTGCAGTTTTAGTACTGAAACTTTAAACTGATGATAGTAAAATGAGAAGCAGCGCTACTGTTACAGAGTCAAAACAAATGCACTTGAGTGAAGTTACAAAGGCTGTCTCCACTTTCTGTGTTTGATTGAGACTTTTGATAGTACCTAATTTTCATCAATGAGCTCTCATATGTTACTTTCTTGTAATGATCCACTGTGGCTGCTTTTGTGAATTAGACATGATTCGCTAAAAAGAAACACGCGTTTATCTTACCTTCACTTTAAATAATCAGCAGTAATTGGAGTTGCAGCATTGTTTACTGAACTGGAGTAATGTATCTCATGAATATATTCTACTTTTGTAACTAGACCAATTTTAACCCTTTTTTTTTTTTACATAGTATTTGAGGCACAGGTCCATCAAGTTCAACGTGTGTGTGTGTGTGTGTGTGTGCGCGCGCGCGCATGTGTGTGTATATATAAGTCCCTATGTGGTCTAGTCTTTAAGAGTACCTGTACCCCTGTATGTACAGTATGATTTTTGAATGATTCAATACTCTCTGCTGATCCACTGCTTGTGGAAGAGAGTTCCAAAAGGCAACCGCTCTAACTGAAGAGAATCCCCTATGCCCTTTGTGGTGGCATCTTTTCTCTACCGATTGTAGGTGGTGGCCCCCAGTCTTTCTTTTTTTTCTTTTTTTTAGAGAGTTCACGTTAAAAAGTTCATTGCTGATGTTGCCATCACCATTAAACATTTTGTACATCAAACTCATGTCCCTTCTTAATCGCCTCACTTCCAGCATGAACAATTTTAAATTTAACAACCTTTTCTCATAGCTTTGGTCCTCCAGCCCCTTAATTAGTTTAGTTGCCATTTTCTGGACTCTCTCCCACTCAAGGACATCCTTTCTGTGGATTGGTGACCAAAATTGAACTGCATAAGATGAGGCCGAACCAGTGATCTATAAAGTGGCAAAAGTATTGCTTTATCTCTACAGTACATTCCCTTTTTAATACATGACAGTACTCTGCTCGCTTTTTTAGCTGCAGCCTGGCATTGCATGCTATTATTAAATTTGTGGTCTACTATGACCCCCAAATATTTTTCCAATTCTGACTTCCCTAGTGGAGTACCCATTAATGTGTATTCTGCTTGCCTATTTTCAACCCCAAAATGCATTAATTTACATTTACATATATTAACCAGTTGACATCCGCGGTGTTAAACCCCCTTCCCATCCAGGCCATTTTTCAGTATTCAGCGCTGCGGTACTTTGACTGACATTTATTCCGTCATGCAGCGCTGTACTGAAATGAATTTTATACCCTTTTTTGGGGACAGATAGAGCTTTCTTTTGGTGGTATTTATTCACCACTGGAGTTTTTATTTTTTTACTATATTAAGGAAAAATTACCGAATTATTTAAAAAAAAACAGTTTCCCCTATATTAAATGATAAAACATTTATTATTACCCAATTTTTTGGTAAAATATAAAAGACGGGGTCACGTCGGGTAAAAAGACACCAAACATGTCAAGCCTTAAAATTGCGTGCGCGTTTACGCGAACGAGCACATATAGACGATCAGCTGGCTATGGAGCCGCTGATCGCCTATATGTGAAACACCCGGTAACGGGTGTGTGCAATGATCGGGTCTTTTCTGCCCGTGCGTGCCCGCTAGGGGGCGCGCGCGAGCAGAAAAAAAATGCCGTCTGGCGACGGCAACCCGCAAATGCAACAGTGCCATCTGTCCGTTTTTTTACTACGGGCGGACGGCAAGAGGTTAAACCTCATCTGCTAGATAGTTGCCCACACCCCTATTTTATCCAGGTCCTCCTGTAATGTTAAAATGTCTAAGTCTGTGTCTACTACCCTCCCAATTTTAGTATCATCTGCAATCACAGAAACCTGGCTATTAACACCTTCCCCAATATCATTAATAAACAGGTTAAACAGTATGGGGCCTAGCACAGAACCCTGGGGCATGCCACTCTTTGACCTTAGACCCATCTGAAAAAGAGCCATTTACCGATACTCTCTGGGCATGTTCCTGTAGCCAGTTCTCTATCCATGTACACACTATTTCATCTATGCCCATTGATTTCAGGTTCTTTATTAAGCGTTTATGTGGTAGCAAATCCAGGTATACTACATCCACTGGCTTTCCTCCATCTAAATTTCTACTCCCCTCCTCATAGAATGTTAGTAGGTTGGTCTGACAAGAACGGTCCTTCATAAAGTAGATCAAAATGTACTAAATAGTCATTTATCATTCCCTCAAACAATTTGCATACTATTAATGTTAGACTGACTGCTCTGTAGTTCCCTGGTTGGCATCATGAAACTTTTTTAAATATTTTTTGAAATAGCATGGCATGTGTGGTGAGGCTTTCCAAGATGAGCAGCACATTTTCCACAACAGTAACCGTCCATTGATTCCAACTAAGGACTCACTGATCATAACTTGTCATCATCTCTATATATGAGTATACAAGGTTTAGGCTGAGCACCAATATGCATATATGTTTTTATGTTTCGTATTTGTAATGTCAATAATAAAATATGATATTTTTACACAATTTTAAGTGTCTGTGAAGGTCCTATAATTGCCTAAAAAGCCCTCCATGACTTCCAGCCTTTTGGCTTCGGAATTGTCTCTTTTGTCTACAAATGACCAGCCTTTGTTGATTGAGCGGTTCCATTTGGCCAATCAATGTCCGGATAATTAAAGTCACCCATTATAACAACATTTCCCTGCTTCCCAGCTATTTCTTTTTGGGAATCTAGGTTTATAACACACACCCACAATTAGTTCATGACTAACATCAGTGTTATCTACGGTAGTTCTAGCCGCAAAGACTCAACTCCATTGCAACTCCATTGCAACTCTCTGTCATGAGGTTGTCTCATGTGCACAGTTGGGTTGTTTTTCACATGCATAACCCCCCCTT